CCGCCCCCTTCGTTCGCGCCGATCTGCCGACCGTTCGCCCCGCCGCCCCCGTCCCCCGGCGGGGGTGTGGTGCTGCCGCAGCCGACTTCCTTCAGCATCTCGCTTCACGCGCGCCGCTACGACGCATGCCGTTGCATTCTGCAAGTTATCGCATGTCTTCGTATAAACGTTTGCGAACGTTGTTTGGATAAAGCGTGCCAAGGACGCGAAGAAAATTACGATCAATTATTGTGTTCATCCAGACGGAACAAAAAGTCATGTAATGACAAAACGACTCCAAATAATTGTTAAAAGTCACTTTTCAATTCATTTTCGTGACCTGTTGTTCTGATTGGCTTGTAAATTTTCTGGAAATAACAATCTCGAAAAATTTCTCCGAATAATGCTCGTACAACTCGCGAAAATTTGACAAAAGTTATGTCCGTTTGTGTTGCATATTGTACATAATTTCATGGATGATAAAACCGCAATCGTCGACCTTGACGTAGGACTGAATAATACATCGTATTTACAGCCCTTTACACGTCAACTCTTTGATTGTCGAAGCTGCCACAAAATACGCGTAAAGCAGTATTTACAATGAGATTTTAAGGCGTAAATCTTAAGCTTCAAGCCCTAAGCCGTAAGAAATTGACCAATCGCAATCGAATGTGAGGAAAGTAATCGACTATGATTGGTCAATTTCTTACGGCTTAGGATTTAAGTTTAAGTTTTATGTCTTAAAATCTCATTGTAGACACTGCTTATCTTTAAATTGTCATTACTTTTGTTCTATACACACTCATTGTAAAAAAAAAGATATAGTGGTAGCAACTATACAAATTTTAGATGACAACTGTACAAATTTTATATTATCTAGAATTATTGTACTGTAAAACAGTTTATTCAACTATATGTACATTAATTCTACATAACATAAAACTTGTAGTTATTTTTTATCTCTTTATAGTTGCTTATATATTTTTTTCTGTGTGTGACAAAATTAATTTGTGAAAAATAAATTGCAATTTGGTAGTAAAACATTAAGAGTGATTTTTATGAAATTTTTTTTGAAGGTTAGAATAGACTTGGCTATCACTTGACTATCACTCTATTCACTAGGTATCAGTCCATTGAATTTCTTTCTACAAGAAAATATTATTAACATTTTCGGTCCGCAAGGATTTGCACTGACCTGGATTGGATTAATTACGTCACATGTTCTACTATTGGTTGACGTTATATCTACCAATAGCAAAGCATTCAACGTCATTTACTACGTTTACACAGCACGCTTTACGCCAAAGTTATAATATCGAGGTTATGAAACTGGCCAATCACAGTCATTCCATTCTTCAATAGAATAGCTATGATTGGCCAGTTTCATAACATCAATGTTATAACTTGGGCGTAAAGCGTGCCGTGTAACAGAGGTCATTAATCCCAATTCAGGTTGATGGCGAACCTCTTCGAACCGAAAACGCTATAAGATTATTAAAATATTGCATAATCCTCAAAACGGATTATTTCTCACTTTATACTCTACAATTTTTTTTTACAACCTTCTATTCTGCACTTAATCTATAACAAAAAACTGAGATGAGAGTCTAATTCGAGACTCGTCTAATCGACTGCTCTCATAAAGAGTTACGTCTATGGTGACACTACAATATTATTATTTATTTAATAAATCCTCAATCTTTAGATCCGTAGACTGGGATAACTAATATAATTTAACATATTTGCAAAACATATTTATGGAATTTTAGAATCGTATCCTGATTTGTATACAAAAGACATAAATAAACATATTGAGAAGTAATTAAAATAAATATAAAACTAAAATATAAATTCGTTATTTTTCTTTTTTTGAACAACTCAGTCAATCCTTAGAAAAAAGAATTTTAAAGATCATTCTTGATACATACTGAACTTTAAGTACCAATTGCAATTCTAATTTTTTTATAGAATAACTTTATTATGTAAAAAACAAGAGTTCAAAGCTACGTGACGTTATAATCTTATATGTATAATAAACTGCATTATATAATCACGAATGAAAAAAGCTATTCCTGTCATCGTGAGAATAGAGACTTGAGACTCAAGGTTCAGGATTCTTAAGAGTCGCTTCGTGCTGTGCAAGTGCATTCATTCAAGACACGCTACCCAGGTGACACGAACAGAAACCGATGAATGAAAACAATTCGTGGTTGACGATAATGAGCCCCTTTAACGAACGACTCTCGCCTTCAAATTGCACTTTACGCGAACGCGAGATGATATCTCTCGCTTACAAAGTTACCGGCGGATTATCCCTCCGACGTTAAATCCCTTCATACCAATTTTGAAGGAAATACATTTCTATTTACAAATACTCTTGTACAAATCGGAACTACATCAAGAGATAATTGATTTAAAAAATTGATGAGATTTAGATTTAGACGAAATAGATTCAGATTGGAGCACATCTAACGATGAAAAAAAAAACAGA